ATGTTTAGGGTCTGAATTTACTCATCATCTTCATAGAAATAGCCAAAGAGAACAAATCGGGATTTTTCTAACAACTGGTGTTCAGAATTGAGACCCAGTTAAAATGCGTTCAAACTTGCACACTGACATGAGGTTCTCTTGATTCATATAGTGACAAGTTTGGTCATAATGCTGAACAAAACCAATGTAATTATGATGTCCTGTTTCATGCTAAGACGAACATGGAAGAAAATTTTTTCTTTGAAAAAAAGTCTGCACTCCAAACCTTTTGTTTTTTGGTTTTTTTTTTTCCAAGAGCAGATGTTTGCAGGAAATCTGTATTACATCAGACTGCTATGCTGTTTTGACAGGACACAAAATGTCCATACAGTAAGACTACACGGGCAGCTGTCATGGTACATTCAGCATGATCTTTCAGTGTAGTTATGGGTATATACAGCATTTGTATTACTGCCAATTAATCAGTCGTTGTCACTATCTGGTTATCAAACATGCAATCTGGGAAATCTGAACCATTTGCACTCCCAGTGGTGTGGATTCCTATCAGTCTTCAGATCATGCAATCGGGTCCTTTGTTTCCTAATGCTCAGAAAGTATGCAGGAAATATTTTTTTTTTATCAGAAATGATCAGATATAATTTTATACTGAATTTCCTCAGACTTCTGAAATCATCTCTTTCATACTAGCAATGCCCAAGATGACCAGTATTAGAATAATCGCTTCAGTTTAGCTTGTGTAAAACTTGTTACATGATAGCTATGCTTACAGCTTTGCATGTTGATCTTCAAGAAAGAGGAATTTAATTCCCTCATCTGCCAAACCATATAGGAAAACATTATGTTCATATAAGGCATATAGCAGTACTTTGAACTCACTAGCCTTAGTCAGCAGAACACAGCAGCAAGGCTGTGTTCAGTTTTGTTCTTTCTTGTTCATTTGAAACAGGATCACCATGCTGCATCCCTCCTGAAGAACAAAACTATATGATATTTATGATATTTTCTTATTATTATTTATTGTATTTTCTTATTTTTATTATATTTTATTATTAATATAAGAAACTGAGATGCTAACTAAGAGGCATTTTACTGCCATGAGAGTGTATTTTAAAATGACACTTCACACAACATTCAGGACTTAGTCTTCTCATTATCAGAAGAAATCTAAAAATTATTTTTTTTCCAGATGGCATTTATGTCATTGAATGTGGGAATGAGTGAATATGTAGTGCTGATAGATAGCACTCAATCAGAGGACAGGTTCACGTTTGCATCGTGTTAGCTCCAGCTTCTCCAACATGGCCCCATCCTTTTGCAACACCTAACAATATGAGTTTTAGTTTCCATTCTCACTGCTTCATTAGTCTCTCTGTGAATACTGAAAATAAAGGCAATCACGTATGGCTAATTGTGGCAGATATCAGATGACAGAATCTGTATATCCCAGTGGGGACTCAAAGGGAAGGAGAGAAATGGAGGGCTTCAGATTACGAACCCGTCACTGGGAATCAACAGGGGATTTCAAAATGAGAGATTACATTTTCACTGATAAAGAGTTTCCTTGTCACTGGAAAACAATCAGGTGTTAGCTGCTCTTCTATAAATACAGTGTGTGTTTCATTTACAAAAAGAAAATTCAATTTTTGACAACCAGGGATAAAAAGGTACTTCCTGTTGATCTCATGGTACACTACTAAAGCCATGACCTGACTTAAAATTCTCTAATGAAAAAACAAAGATGTGTTTATCGCTACACAAACAAACAAGAAAAATTCCTTGGCTTTGTCTTCGCTAAGATAACGTTGTGTACTGAATTCTGCTGGGAGCAACAAACTGAGCATTGTGTTAGGTCCTTTGATCTCCCCTGAAAACCACTGCTTTAAGTACACAAAGTCTGAAAGATGAGTGATAGGGAGGATAGAAGAAGAAGAAAAGAAGGAACATTGTACTTTCCTGACCTTTTACTGTCTGATGACCAGATGACAGAGGGTTTGTAGGGAACACTGTGGTTACATGAATGCAGGGGAATGTCTGAAGTAAGAAGAGTTCCCCCTTGAAAGAGACTGCAATGCCATTTAAAGGTGGGTTTGGACCAATTCTTCATAAAAAAAAAATCATGAATGTTTCTTTGTGACTCAACAAAGTCATCATCATCACTGAGCTGAAGTGGATTTGTACAGAGTTTGGAAGGCATAATCTTTCTAGGTTAGCAGCTACACTAGATTCAGCTCCAGTCATGTTAGCATAGCCGAGTGGCCCTCCTGAGTAGCACTGAATGGCAAAACCTTTCTTGAAGTGCATCTAGCCTGACTCTTTCAAATGGCACCAGAAGTTAAGCAGTATGTCCAATTTCTATTAAGACAGGTTGCACTGATAGCTGAAAATAACACACAAAGAAAGACAACTTTAATTTTTTTCCATCATAAACACACCCTTAGATGTTGCGTCTGAAAGATTCAATGGAGTCTACAGTCAGTAATTTGAACCTTTACCACTGACTGGCTGCCAAACTCTCCCTTTAATTCCAGACTAAATAACATGCAGCAAAACAACATAGGTGAATTTGCTCAATATTTTCATTTTAATGTTCTTCACTGCACAGAAACAAGAGGTCTTTGAGGTTCTCAAATTTTCCACAACCTAAACTCATCCAAAGATATTTATGAAGTCAGTCACATTTGCACAAAGCCCACCTTTTAACAAGAAAACTGACATTGTGATAAAGCCTATTTTAATCAGAATACTTCAGCCCACAGCATGCATAGATACAGCCCAAAGATGGTCCTGAAATGAAAGCAAACCATTCTCCCAACTTACTGGAGCACTGACAGATTATTTTAGGACTAGCTTGAATGAAAAATAAGAATTACACTCAGACCTTTGTTTTCTCACTGCTAGCTAGCTCCATGTTTGTTTTTCCTTTTTTCCCCCCTCTTTCTTCCATATGTCTGTTCATGTGTGTTTGGCTATTATAAGCACTTTATCAATACTGACGTTACTCCTCAAAATTTGTTTCAAAGGGATGACTTTTATGGCTCCCATGATTCTTAAGCCGCCTACGGTATTTGTAACTCACAGAATCAGAAACTAACACACAGACAGTGTAGCTTTTCATACAAAGGCACAATAGGAATGAATGTATTAACCTCTGTGGTGCATGGAATGTGTCAGCTTACACACTGGCAGCTATTTCTGTGAAACTCAGCTAACTTCCGCTGGCTGTGTTAAATAAAATAAAATAATAAAAAAAAAAGATCCTCCCCAGAACTATGTCCCATGCTCTCGTATGCTGGCCAAACAACTGAAATATCTGATGTCTACTTCATGCTGATGTGGGCCAAACAGAGTTTGAGAATGCGTTTCACACGTAATGAGTTATAAACACTGAGCCTTTCCAAGCAGGTATAAAGCTCTGCTGTTTCCATGTGACTTGGCAAATAATAGTGAGTGGGGAGACGCATTTGCAATTGAGAGCATGGGGTTTTTTTTCCTTGTTTCTAGAAAAGAGCGTCAATCCAGATCACGCAGAATTACAGATGACTTGGATCTTGGTTTTCCGTTTAGTCCCAAATTTTACTCAGCTTCATCCTGCCAGCAAAGCATACATGGCAGGTAGCAAAATCCAAACTGTAGCAATGGACATCACATTTGCTTAATTCCAATTACTTGATAAGGGTTGTGTGGCTGATCAGGAATACCTGAGGAACATCTGCACTGCTGTCATTAGGACCCATGGACACCCTAATACTCTCAAAATTTAAAAATATCAGCAGTTTGAAAATCATATACATCTGGCTACCAAATCAAGTCTTCAATGTGGCTGAAAAAAAACTCTTTAGTATTGTTCCACCTGTTTTCTAATTGTCTATGTTAAATTAGGATAATCACTAATAATCTGCACTACAGTAGTGCCTAAAATGCTTGGGTACCATAAAACACTGTAGGAGGGGCCAGTCATTGCTCTGAAGAGCTTATGGCCTAAAAGGACATAATCATGTAAACAACTTTTAAGCAGTTTAAAAGTGCTTGTCAGGACAGAGCTTTTCTGCCTGGCAATCCATTTCCTTTTGGTGGTTTACACCTAGCTAGCATTACAGCCTGCATCAGAAGGATCTAACGGAAAAGTATCCTGGTTTCAGCTGGGACAGAGTTGGTTTCCTTCTCAGTAGCTGTGTTTTGGATTTAGGATGAGAATAATGTTGATAACACACTGATGTTTTGGTTGTTTCTAAACAGCACTTACCCTAAACCAAGGATTTCTCGTTTTCCATGCTCCACCAGAGAGAAACTGTACAAAATGTTGGGAGGCGGCAAGGCTGAGACAGCTGACCCAAAGTGGCCAAAGCAATATTCCATAACAGAGAATGTCATGCTCAGTTTATAAACTGGGGGGAGTTTTCCTGGAGGGGCTGATCACTGCTCAGGGCCAGGCTGGGCATCGGTCAACGGATGGAGAGCAATGGTACTGTGCACCACTTGTTTTTTCTTGTATTTTAAATCTCTCTCTCTCTCTCTCTCTCCTTTTCATTACATTCATTACTATTAGTGTTGTTATTATCATGACTCCTACTGTATTTACCTTTATTTCAATTATGAAAATGTTCTTATCTCAATCCATGGGTTTTACCTCTTTTTTCCCTGATTCTCCTCCCCATCCCACTTTCGGAGGGGTGGAGTGAGTGAGTGTTTGTGAAGGACTTAGTTGCCAGCTGGGGTTAAACTGCAACAATAAGAGAAGCAAACATGCCACTATGCAGAAATTTAAACTACAAACCTAAAAGTAGTTAAATCGACAATAAAGACACAAACCCCGTAACAAGAAGTTCCTGGAAGGTAAAAGAAAATATGTATCATTTGATGATTCTTTTGCTTCAGACGTAAATTTAACGAGACAAGAACAGCCCCAAAACCCTGTTAATTGCATTGTGTTGCAATGGAAGAGAAAACTGGTTTTCATATTTACCTAACCTTTGCCTCTTCTGCATTGTGCTGGGACTTACCTGCAGTTGGAGAGGGCCTAAGCCCGGTGTTGCTGCGGCAGCAGCTGCCATGGTAGTTGGGATCAGCTGAACAGGGTAGGGGTCACCTAAGTAAGAGAATAATAGAGGCGTCAGCACCTTTTATCTACTCTCCACCTGCAAATTAAAGTCCTGCATTCACTCTTTCCAAAAGCCTTCTTTTGTGTGCCTTGTTGAGGCCTAATGAAAAGCTCTATTGTGCAGCCTTTTACTAACACTCTTTTCACAATTCTGGCTGAGAGAGGAATGTGAATAAAAGGCACAAGCAATTAAGGCGGAAACCTCATCCTTTTTCATGATGTATTTAGGGAAATGGGAAAAAAAAGTGCACATTGATCAGAAGGCTGCACTTCAAAAAAAAGGAAAGAAAGAAGATGGGGGTGGAGGAGAAGAAAAGGAAAACAGTACAACCTTGATAAGATCACAGCATTAGAAGGGGACAAATTTACAAGCTTGTCCAGAATATGAAGTTAACCAAACTCCACTCGCTGTTAGTAAACTGAGCCTCACGCGGAGCAGAAATGGCACTCAATTGACTACTCTGCTTTCTTTCAGGTGAGGAAAAAAATCTCACTTTAGTGTCAGGGTTTGATCCTACAACAGGAAAAAGCACGTGAAGTTAAGGAAATCAGATACAAGCCTCCGAAATCCCTGCACTGACTTCACTTCATGACTTGGGATTCAATTTTGCTTCTGATGGAAAACTACTTCATTCTTACTAAGAACTGCATTGTGCTGGATAAGATATAAAGACCCAGTAACGGTTTTAGGAAAAATTGCAGTAATTTATAAGGGAGAATTACCTGAGATGACAAAAATTGACAAGGAGACTGGTAGGTTTTAATGTTATGGAGTGCTCACTTTTGGTCACTCCTTACATATCTGATTTGTTAAAATAAACTTCATACCAGCCTGTACCCACTATTAAGACTACTGGTAAAAAATAATACAAAATGTTACAGACATTATATTGCCTCCCCAAATGATAAAAACTTTAAGCACTTTCCACTGAAATAAGGCTCACCAGAGCACTTCTGTATGTCCCTATGTTCTGGTGACGTGCATGATTTCTGTAGCATTAAAACAGCCACTTGAAATGAGACTGTGGAAAGGGCAGAACACTTTATCAGAAAAATCTACCTAAACATTCCTGTACATTTTATTAGAGAGGCAGATTAAAAGTTTTCCCCTTTATTGTGCTTTTTTGAATGAACAGGGGGAAAAAAGACAAGAAGGCAATGCAGGGTGTTCTGTACAAGCACTATTAGTTATTGTTCAATTAAAGTTTAAATGTTATCAAGCCTTAGTTACAGGAAACAGAAAACAAAGGGAATGAAATTTATCTAATGATTTTTCAGTGTTAGAAATAAGCTGAGTTGGTGTACACACATTCAGGAAAACTGCTAATGTGTTTTCTTCCCTTTTATAAAGCAACTTTCTTTACAGAGATCTTTTCATTCAAGCATTTTGATCTCCTGTTAAGAATTAAATAGCACAACTTCTAAAATGAAGGGCTAGCAAAAAACTGGGCTGGCAAAGTACCTTAACAGATATTTAACTTAAATTAGGTGTGCATGCTTATATTTAAGAACATCTTAACTAATTCTTTGCTGACTGAAACCTCACAGTCTGTCAAGGCCTACCAGCCAAGCAATGGGAACCCAAAGGTCCACCCAGGCATCCCCATCCACAAATGTCTTTGCATCAGCACCACGCCCCAAATTCTCTATTTATGTTTGTCGATGGGCAACAGATTTCCTGACTTGCTTGGTTGTCTTTTCTCCCCAGAGGATGCCATTGTTCTACACTTCCCAATTTTACTTTGCTTTAACTGAGGCACCCATTTTCCTTGTCGTATCATGGACTGAATTATTAATTTCTCTGACTCAAAATTTTCTGAAGAGTTATCTTGTGACTCAAGCTGTGAGCCTTAAACATGTGAAGACACAGAGAAAAAAGAGATGGTAGTCAGAGAGTCAGTGTCAATGGTGTTTATCTGCTTCCATACCACTAGGAGCCCAAAGGCTAATCTCAGCAGCATTCTGAAAGTTTCCTCTCTAGAAGGGGACATTTTGATCAAAAAACAGCCATTAAAGAAGATAAAGTTTTTAGTTTCTCAACTCAAAAAAAAAAAAAAAAAAGAACGAGGGAAAAGTTTCTCACTAGGACACTGATTCTTACAGCCAATTAAAATTTCTAGTTTTGAATGACTTGTATTAAAACATACATATTAAAAGATAGCTTCCGTGCACTGTCCCATGTTCCTCTTCTCTCCACACACACGTGTAAGCCTCAGCCCATCATGCTAATTTATAAATCCCATTCTTGTCACCTTCCTAAACAGCCATGCAGATTCTCATATGCTCATCTTTTGTGGTAATTCCTATCCTTTACGGTTCATTTGGTAGAGTTATCAAGGAGATTCTTGAGAGAGGAACATGCTGAAGTCCCCATGGCCACAAGCATATCCCACACGTGCATGGTCACAACCACTTGCTTTGGAAGTGTATGCAATGCTTCTGGGACTCCTACTAGAAAGCAACTACTACCGCAATACATGCTAATGTAGCTTTTCTGAACTCAAAAACAAAAACTCAGATTCATCCTAAAGCAAGATTATAGCTGTGCAGAGCCAGGCTTGCCTGTCTATTAGATTGGTTTTTTGTTAGCTCACTCTTTAAACAGTTTTACATTTTTCTACTGGTCCCCAATAATTTTAACTAACAAAAACAGCAAACAAAAACAAAAGGCTTCTGCAACCTATCATGAATCTTTGCACTGTTATGGTTTGGTAATACCCTCTGCTATCTTGTGGTTAAGCACAGGAGATAGACCACAAAAGAGCACGGAATATGCTCAAACACCATGCCATGGTGGGCACTCTTCAGACAGTGCCCTTCCCAGGGAAGGTTTTGGGTCCCTGTCCATATTCACATCACGCAATGCAGGAGCAACTGCCACCCTCAAAATACTGACAAAGGTCTCAGGTCTTATCTGATAAATACATTTCTTGCTGTTTCTCTAGAACATGATGCATCTTTTTACTATCCTTAAATTTATTCCCACAGAGTGAAGTTTTTGACTGAGCAGTTTTAGCTAGTTCTGAAGTCTGGGAAATGCATGTCTTTAATATTTCATTACATCTTCAGTAAATATCTTATTTTTAGATATAAATAGTGGCTACATTTTTTTCCCAAGCTTTAGGAATATTTCAGGAATGTGAGGCGAGATATACAGTTAATAGAAATAGATATTTCCCAAGCCAGTCAGAAGTTTGCACAACTGAGGACACCAATAAATTCTCAAACAATTACAATACATTTCCATTTACAAAATTCACTATTAACCTACTAATGCATGCATGCAGTAGTGTACCTCCCTGCATCTCTCAGCTACCAAAAGAAACATTTTGTGCAGTTCTTTCGTGTTCCAAACTGCCTCTTGTTATGTGTGAACTTTTCTTATAAACAAAGCATCAGAGAGAAGTTTTGTTGCTGTTGTTTTTCTTTAGCACCCTATATGGTAAAATCTGGAGAAGATCAAAGGCCAAGATTTTTACTGTGAGAACAAGTTAAAAATTATTTCATTAGCTGATGTATTATTCCCTAACATATATAATTATTTCCCAGCTACTCAGTGACATCACTTTGAAGAACAGAATTATTTGAGGCTGAGTACATGAAAAGAGCACATTATTTACTGGTGACGCAGCACCTAAAGAAATGAAGGGGATATGGGGGAGTTGATGGGGTGTATTAGGGGTGTTGGGGACACTGTGAGCAAAGGAGAACACCAGTGGTTCAGGGAAGAAAGAATGCAAGGCTGAACCCTCAATTCCGTGCCTATATTTTATTTCTCTATCCTTCTTCTGGTCCGACTTCCACAAACATACCCAAAACCTCTTTCCTGATAATTTATGCACTGCAACTTCTTTCAATTTCAAATCACACCTTCATCCTTGCCCAAAATAATCTTCCAAGATCCTGCTTACAAGAGGATTTTTCATGAAGTACATTCACTTCCAAACCACTCTTTCTATGAACTCTCATATGATACTCCACTGAAAACACTTTTCTGCGAAAGTAAGTTGTGGTACAGAGCCAAGTGGACATCCTGTCCCAAAACACAAAATAACAGCCCTGTGTTTAGGAACTTGATTTTCAACTGACTAGCTACCAAGTTCATGGATATTAAACGATTCTATACCTGTGGAAATACAACAGTGGCTCTTAAACCATTTATATGTTTTGCAAAATTTTATCAAAGGAGTTTAGTAAGTTAAAAAACATTAAGGCTTTCTTTAAAAAAAAAAAAAACAAAACCAAAAAAAAAAAAAATTAAGCACAGGAGCTAACATTATGCGTGTTGCACCATTTACCCAAACTCCTAGGATGTTTTTTGTATTCCTTTTTCTGTCACTCATCTCATTTATTCTCCTTCATGGTGTAATCCCCCCTAGTGTCTTGTCTTGTCTCCTGACAGGCTGCAAGCTCTTCAGAGCAGGCACAATTGTCTTACTTGCTATATAAATCAAGCTACATGCTAATGTTAAATTATAATGTTTTGACAGGATTTTTAAGATGAACCTGATTACATGAAACAATAGAACACTCTGTGGTTTTTTTTTTTCCCTGAAATTTTCTTCTCTTAAAAAAGGGATACCAGAAGAGGAGAAGTAGGGTATTTAATTCCCATGATTTTAAAAAAAAACACATTGTTTTCCTCCTACCTATCTTTCAGGGAAAGCAAACGAAAAAAGTTGGAGGTCATGGAAGAAGAAAAAAAAAGAAAATAGAGTGAAGAATATTAGGAGTATGAAACAAATCCAAATTCTTAAACTATAATTTCTAAAACTAAATTCCATGAAAAATACCAGAATAAACATTTCCTTATAGTAGCTTCTGTTGAATGAAAAGGAGTTCTACATTATCTTCCCCCCATTTTTGACAAGTTCTAGAAAAAGCCACAATAATTTTACACTCAATTTATCATTTAAGTGTATTTATAATGAATTATCACGGCTGATGGTTAACTGACAGGTAAGCCACTGCATCTCTTCTCACCACTC